ACAAGCAGGCAGCGTGGGCCGATCGGATCGGATGGGATCGGCCGGGAAGAGCTCAGCGAAGCACCCCGGGAACGCACCCAGCCGGATGCCACCTCAGAGCGGCCGCGCTCGCACCGCCTCCCCGGGCACGTGATGGCGGCAAAGCCAATCGCAACGCGCCGTCCCCCTGTTGACTTCCCGCCTCCCGCGGTCTCGTTGCTACGGCAACGCGAGAGCCGGAGGGGACGCCGCCGCCATGCTGAAGGCCAAGGTGCTGCTGGTGGGGCCCCGCGAGGTGAGCGCTTTCAACCGGCCCCTCGACCGGACCCCTGAGGGCCGCTGTCTCTAGGCGGGGGCCGCTGAGGTGGCCACCGGGACTGGGGGGTCCCTGGAGGCGGGAGGAGGGCGGGGGCTAGGCCTGAATGCACTGGGGCTGAGGATGGAGAGAGATCAGGGGGCTTGGGTAAAACACTGTGCTCTGCTCTTCGGTGTGGTTTTGGCACGTTAACTTCCCACGCGATCTTCACTTTCTGCCAGTCTGGAAAGTCGGTGTTGGCAAACTTCATTTCGGAGAACATAAAAGGGATCGGCAGCTACAGCGCGACGCAGGCTCTGAGGTGAGCAAAACCCAGAGCACACTGACTGAGCCAGCCCCTCGGAAAGTCCAGTGCTCTGGCTGTGGTGCTGTGCGGTGATGGTGATGTTGTATATCCACCCATTTCACAGGATCCTGGAGTATGAGATGCCAAACTTTAACACCAAGGGAGCTGGGTGTCGGTTTGAGCTGTGGGATTGCAGTGGTGATCAAAAGTAAGCCAGCGTTGCTGTTACTTCCTCTAGGGTACATAATAGTTCTGTTTACACAAAATACTCATAAGGCCTAAAGCAGATGATCTTTTTGAGATGAGAAATATTCCCAACTCTTTACCTGATAATATTTTATACAGCTTCCTGTTATAAAGGACCTGATACTAGGTGCTCTCTGCCCAACTGACTTGGTTTTGGATAAGGACCAAGTACAACATAAAGTCCATAGCTCCTAGAAATAAGTTAATAGGTACAGGAGACAGAGGCCCACTCTGTAACTGTCTTTATCTCCTTGAAGTTATGTGAGTGGACTTCAAACAATGTACCCATGATTTAGGCCTTCATTTCCAAAAGATACAATTGAGAACTGAGCAGATCCGTTTTTAGGGAAAAACATTTAAATAAGCATTTGACCAAATAGCGCACTGTCAGTAAATCATGGGACCGACAACTGTAATAGGTAAATTAAAGCATTTGGAATATGATAGATCACTAATGTTACAATAAAGTACTGAAATGTGTTCTTGAAAAGGGAAGAATAAAACTTGAGAAAGACTGAGTGCGTGTTTCTGCTATCATTCTCTTGTTTTTCAAGGTTTGAAACATGCTGGCCAGCTCTGATGAAGGACTCTCATGGGGTAATAATAATCTTCAATCCTGAGCTGCCCAGTCACCTGAAAGAAATTGAAATGTGGTACTCCTGTTTTGTGCAGCAGCAGTCGCTGCTTGACAGTCAGTGTCTCCTAGTTGCACATCACAAGCCAGGCAGTGGGGGCGACACGGAAGATCTGTCCTTGGGTAAGAAGATGGAAAACTCAATCTGTAACTCTGTTTTTCATTGATCTATCTTTACAATTGTTCATACCCTTTTCATTTACATCTGCCGGAGTGTTTTGCAAAATCAGAAATAATGAATTTCAAAGCTCATCTAGAAGGTGAGCAATATGCCTATTTCACAAAAGGGAAAGTAAAGACAAGAAAAGTTGAGTGACTGCTCTAAGGTCACACAGTGAGTATGCAGCTGAGCCAGGAACTGGAACTCCTGCCATACTGTGCCATTGCTAGTAGTTTGGTTTTGATGTTAAATTTTATCTTTTATTAACTGACACTTCTGGGGCCACTTGAGCCTGCATTTTATCCATCAAAAGAATAGGAGCCCTCTGAAATAAAAGGCTAATGATCTTCCTCTTAAAATTAGTAATAGGTACCTTATGTACTACAAATGTATTTGTGGCTGTTCATACAAATGAGAACACATACTCCCTCTGGGCAACCTGTTCCAGTGTTAAATACTATTCCAGGATTAAACAAATACTTAAAAGTATTACTCAATTAATACATATTTAATATAACAATATTGTTTCATTATTTTGATATAATCAAAGAGTGTCCTATCACTTTGTCATGGTTTACCTAAAACCAGGACACATTCAGTAGTAAAATTGCAGTTCAGTGTTGAATTGATTCTGCTTAACTGCACGTGAGACCAAACCCAGGACTCGAAGCTTTAATAATAATGTTTGAAGAATTTAATCTGGCAGCAAGTCATACTTGCTTATAGTGCTAAAAAGCTACGATGCATTTCTTCCTCATGTGTTCTGTGTTATCTGGGGTATCAAACATGGGATACTACTGAAGCCCAATTGACTTCAGCATGAGCTGTCCCATGACCTTGACTGTATTTCTTTTATAAAAGGAATATATCTAATTATTTTTTATTTACCTTCAAAGCTTACCCACTGAACAGGCTAAAACTGATACACTCCAACTTGGAAGACGATCCTGAAGATGTTCGGATGGAATTTATGAAATACTTCAAAAGCATCATCACCTTGATAAATGAGAGCAGAGAGAGGGAAGAAATGTCAATTGTCTCATAACATTAAAAGAAATACTGAACAAGGAAGAAAAAGGATTTTGTCTTTGTAAGGTACACTAGCCTGGGAACAGGTCCTCACAAAGGGAATTTGCCAGCCTATAAACACTTCAACCCATATACAAGTGCTGACATCAGATGAACTGTGGTGCCAGAGATGGCTGCACATCCAGGAATATGGGTAACTATCTGCACTTTGGTTTCATCTGGCAACAGGTACAGGAAGGTGTTGTTTAATATGCTAGTGTGGACCAAAAGATAAATGTATGGGTTATCTCTTCACTTCAGAATCCCTTTCTGTAGAGGTGCTAAGAGAAGAAAACCTGACGGAACAGAAGATTTGTGGAGTTCTGTTGAAGCACCTGAGTAAAGTGCTCATGTTAGCAGTGTTCCTAGGGAAGGCATGCTTTTGAAAGTCAGTACAAACTGACTGGAATAGAGATCTGAGAAGTAGTCATGGTGTGGAATCCATAGTTTTATGTTCCAGGTTCTCCTTTCTGTCCAGCATCTGCAGAGAGCACGTTGCATAGTTATTGCCTTGGAAAGGCAGAGTAGGTTGCAGTCTTTCTTAACACTAGATTTTTATTCTATTCCAACAAAATGTGTGGTTGTGGGCAATGTTTAGGTGTCTCTGGGAGGAAGAGAATTGCAATTTCAGGGTAGTGCAATGCTTTGACCTATGTCAGGAGCTCCAATAGAGAAAAAGTTCTACATTCTCAGAGAAGGAAAAGCTGTTTCATAAACACGTATTACTGTTCCCTGTTGCACTGAAGTAAGTGGTTTCATAGCTAATTTACTTTCTGGTGTGTTTGGTTTGCACTCATCCCTGTTCTTGGTATGTTTTGCTGTGGAAGACATTTTTTTCTTGTAATGCGGTTCTAAGGCAATAAAAACATTTAAAAAATGCTTAAGTTTCAGTAAGGAAAACAGGGATAAATTTGTAGTACATTAATGGCTCCAACAAGAGATATTTACCAAAACTTGTCACTGACCTGGCTGGTGTTGGCTAAAATTGCCCAGAGAAGCTGTGGCTGCCCCATCCCTGGCAGTGTTCAAAGCCAGGCTGGAGGGGGCTTGAAGCAACCTGCTCTAGTGGAAGGTATCCCTGCCCATGGCAGGGGGTTGGAACTGGATGATCTTAAGGTCCTTTCCAACGCATACTGTTCTATGATTCCTTGAAAATAAGTTTATTTTATTGTTTTCAGGTAGATTTTTCAGTTATTTTTGTATACTCTTTGAAGTACTTCTACAAGTTCATGCTCAACACGCACACTGCTAGAGTCCGAAAGCCTCTTTATCCTAGTTGTGTTTCGTACTTCCCCAGCTATTCTTCTCTTTGATTATTAAGTCCCATTTATTTAAAACAAATGTAAAGTGAAAGATTAAAAGATCTTAGAACATTTCCAATCTGTAAACCTAATGGCTACAAGTAACACACCAAAACTGAGCTCAGTTTATCCTTTAGAGAATTCCTATTCCAACCATATACTGGTTTGCTCAGGTTGGCACAGCACGTGAAGTGTGTGCACACACAAATAGCCTGCACTGTGCTTTTCTTGGGTACTTGGTGTGCTCAGTTTGCTGCCCCAGCTCCTGTTCTGCCATTAAAGCTAAAAGCCCCTCTCGGTTCTGGGTAGTGGTACTGAAAGAGAACATCAATGAGAGAAAGGGCATCAGGAAAGAAAAAAGCAACATAAGCAGTTAAGAGATGAAAAGGTTGTAGGCAAATAGTGGGAGGTTGGCATTTCAACATCTACATTTGATTTATATGACTAGAGAAACAATCAGGCTTTCTATGTTTGCAACCAGTGTTATAGGGTGGTCTATTGGAGGCAGTTACTGGAAAATTCACAGTCTTACTAGACAGCAAGTTTTTCACATGCTGCCTTAGATTATTTTGTTGCCAGCTGTGTGGTGCTGGAGCCAAGTTCTCAAAAGTACTGCCTTAATAAATCCAGGTTTTCCCAATAGCAACAAAACTGGTGTGAAACCCACCAAGTATTTTGTTTGGAATGTAACCCCATGTTTGGGTGATTCCAGAGCTGAGAAGTCAGTGAACTCTTCTATTCACCACCCTCCTTCATACAAAACATTAACCATGATCTTTAAACTCAAAACCAGGATGTAAATTACAGGTATCTATATACTGCAATTCATTAGAGAAGAGAAACAGACAGAAACAAAGACAGATCCCTGGAACTGCCTTTATATCATCCAGAAAGATATGTAATAAATGTTCAACATAATTCATAAAATCTGGCCAAGAGATCACTTTCTGTCACTGCTGAAGAACAGAGTAAATGCTTAGACCCATGCAAAATTAATCCTTAGTGTTGGAGAAGATACAGAGAAAGTATTTATTCAGAAGCATCAGTTATTGATTTATGAAACAGGTCAACAGTATCACCCAGTTAGAAGAGGGTGTTACTCAAGAATGCCAGAGGAATATGCATTACATCTTTGTCTCTGCTTTCACAGCCCACCCATCCTGTGCTATCTTTAAGGCAGCAGAGCTTCAACCAACACCACGCCATGGCATTACTCAGACTGGGGGTGCACAGTCCCATTTGTTTGCTTGAAGTGATGTGGTTAGTATTTCATGTCTGTATTTCTGCTTGTGAGAGCAAAATGTTGCCCAGAGAAGTGTAAAGGAGAACCTGAGGTAATCAGCCACAAGTTACCAAGAAGTCAGTTGTCAAGCCACAGGTTTAGCAGGAGTAGCAGCAATTTAGGAGCAGACGATAACAGCAAAAGCATTCTATTCTACTCATTCACACTGAGGACCTTACTACTGTACTGGGACACCTGAAAGGCTTTTTGGATGACCTTTTCAAGGAAAGGCAAGGAACCAGTGAAGTCTGTCAGGTCCTCCAAACAAATACAGTCTTCTCCAGGTGTGCTCAGTCCCTTAGAGTGAACAGGTCATGTCCCCTTCTCAATCTGCCAGCAGCCATGTACCCCCAAACCCCTGCTTCGTACGTGCACAGGTTAAAAGTCTGTCCTTTTCCGTGGTTCCTTGTCCATACTGGAATTCAGTGGCTGTTCATTCCAGTGACTTCTTTAGTGATCACTTGTCATGGTTTGGAGAATTGAGGATGGAATTAAGGGCACAGAACATTTTAAATACTAATAAATACATTCAGCCTTCACAGTACAGCATCTCCAGGATACACCAACTGGGCAGTGAGGAAACAACCTATTACTTAAACAGAGATATTCAGGTGCAACATTATTTTGTCATTTGGCATTGAGTACTGATAATGCTGACAGATACATCACTACGATGTACAGAATTTAATTTCCAAGTTTTATTGCTGTATAGCTACAAAAAGGGTTATAGCTGTAGGTGAACTCACGTTCACATTCATCTCTCGTGAAAGCACATGGTCCAGCATTGCTTTGGACAGTTGACCTAGCTGGACATTTGAGAGGGAGCAGTCAGAATCAGAACTCTGCGGGGGTAGAAATGCAGACTTTAAAGACTTCAGGGTCATACAGAGAAAGTTATGGCTGTGGCCACCTTGCTGCCATAAATTTAAGACATTTAAGCTCTTCAGTTATAAAATAGAGTTTGCTCAGGTTACCTCTTACAAGCTGTTTTCTGCACACGCAGAACATTATAAAGCAAGTAACTATTTGTGATGATGAAAACGGTTACAGGCACTGCAATCCAGATGTGTGGCTTCCAGGGTAAAAATCATACTTGTTTACAACCAAACTTTGGGAGTAGCAGCAAAGCCGAATGAAATACATTTGGACCTTACCAAAAAAATGCAGCCTTCCTTTCAAGTCATATATTTTGAAGGCCAGGCTTTGGTCTCAGTTGCTCTCAGCAGTATTGTTCTAATGGACACAATAGACATAAGAAATCCTGTGTTCCTACTTCTATTATTGCACTGCCAAGTGACTACAAGGAAGTCACGTAGGCCACCACATTTAAGAGTGCCCATCCGTGCTGTGTTTTTGCATGCTCAGTTTAAAATATGTAGGGTCCTGGTGTGCAGACACTTTAGGAAGCAACTTCTAGAAGGTATCCAGGACCTCTTAAAATCAGATCTTAAACAACTTAACTTTTCAACAGGAGTACTTTGCTCTGGAGGTCACTTGTATTTCCTCTTACCACTTCTCCAGACATCTTCACTGGTGGAATGCTTCAGTGGTGCAGCAAAGATTCCTCAAAAGATCTATTTATCTTCTTGAGAAGCTGCCTTTCCTGAGATGCTAGAAACACTCCAACAGTAACTCACAGTGCTCTTCATGCACATGCAAACACTACTGCACCTGTGAATAAAAGACACCATATGCTACTACTTCAAGCAATTCAGGGGGTTATTTATCATGTAGGCAACAGGCCCGTTGTCAGTTCAGGAGTGTATTTTATATTATTTACTTAGGACAAGATTTCCTCTTGAGTGACTGAGGTTTACACAACTAGATCCTTCATAAAGGCACCTGCTTAGAATTTGCTGAGGATTCACCCTCAGAAAATCAGTCCTCTCCACATACACTAGTATCTGGAAACCTCCTACCCTTCACTGTAATCGCAATCTGATGGAACTGGCTTTGTGCAAATGGGGTGTAGGTTTGGTCATCATGCTCAGAAAGCTCCCCTGAATCATAAAAAGGCCACCCAAATGGCTGAAGAAGAAACCATTGCATGAGAACTCTTTGGTTTTTTCACTGTAGCAACACAGGGAGAGAGGGCACGTGCGTGATTTCTGCAAATATGTCACAAAGGAAGAAAATTGACTGTATTTACTTGGATGTAAGGTAACAGGAGCAATCAACAGAGCAGGGATGCTGTTGCTAAAAGGCTGGACCATTCTGACTAAATTACACAAACCTAAATACAAAGCACTCTCTTAACATCCCTTCCTTTTGCTTGTTGAGGAAATAATTTGATCTAGAGTACAAGGTGATCTTATATTTAAGCTCTCTTCCTCCCCCTTCCCCCCCCAAAAAAGACAAAACCCAGAAGAACCCAAATATCCAGGCTCACATTCGTGTACAATCTAAACTTAAAGACAGGCTCGGCATAATAATATATGTGAACAAACTAGTCTTTAGTAACTCTAGTCTGGAAATTGAATAAGGTTTCTAATAGAGAGAGTGGGAAAAACCTGGTTTAAGATCGGTGCTTAATGAATAGTTTGTGATGGAGTATCACTGGACTGGATCCCTCTAGTCCTTGTCTTAGGAAAACAAGAGGCTTATTGCTTTTTTATTCATGCAGGTATTTTTTAGTTATGTAGCTATTTTCTACAAATTATTTTCTACAAGTTATTATTTGTATGTATTTGCAGAGGTGACAGTGAACCAGAACATCAGCTCCAAACTTCCTTGAATGTGGATTGTGATTCATGCTCTCCAGTTGGAGATCATTTGGAGACATAGGTTGTAATTATACATAGGCAGAGGAAGTAAAGCAATTTTGTCAGCTCATAAGGAGGTAACACAGATTTTCTCAGGTGAGGCTCACTTTAGAGAGTTCTGTCTGAGGATGGGCAGTGGTTTTGCTTATATAACCCTCAGACAGGAACAAAAACTTGCCATATGTTTTACTGAGTTCCATTGTCTCTTCCTCCCTTTGTAAATAAATGAAAGCCTGTTTCTCTACTAGTTCCATGAAAACTATCTGAATCCTGGTAACACGTCTCTGAGAATTTGCTCAGAGGGAATAACAGACAAGGGTACACCCTCCATTGCTATGTTACTGTTCCATGAGTTCCAGACAAAAGCATTTATTGTGGTTTGGCAACAACCATCTACTCCTAAAACCCTGGGATTGTATTGTTCTTTACTTGTCAGAAGTTGATTTAGTACCTACAGGCATGGATTGCAGGGTTCGTCCTTTTAGGAAGCATCTTGAGGCCTTCTAGACTGCTGGAGTCACTTCTCACAGCCAGGAACACCACTTGGAAGAGTCACACCAAAGCTCACTGTGAAGACCAGGCCCTTGAAGAAGCAAAAGCTCTGCCCTGCAATGAATATTCCAGGATCTTTATTCTGACCCAGGTTACATGGTAACATTCCAGAAACTGAGCAAACAACTGGCAGGCCCATAATAATAACTTTGAATCATTAAATAAAGATACATCTTAGGGAAAGTTATTCTTAAGGCCCCAAAATTGGGTTGCTGTGTTTGGAATTCTAATAATGGTAGGAGCGTTCGACTGGAATTCCTAATGATACAAAGATCTTGCAATCTTGCTTATCTGTAGCTAAGATAATAAGCCTGGGACCTAAACGAAGCTGAAGGAGGTCCTTCTTCTGCTCGGAATGGTGTATCTTGACTTTCAAAGCAGATCCTTAGAAGTCATATCTAATGAAAACTCCATCTGGTTCCCATTGAGCATACACTTGGCTTTTATTCTTTTTTATCCCTAAGGTTGCATGAAGCTTTGCAGCATATAGGGCTGACACCTGCACAATGTAACAGGACAAGCCAGCCCTCAATGAGGTTCCTTTGTCCAGAGAAGTTAAATATTGGGTATATCTGGATGTATTAACATGAAGATGAACTTTTGGACCTTTAATTTCTTTCCTATCCAGGATCTGGAGAGAGATGTATAAATATGGCAGTGGTGTAATAAATCCTAGGTCACACAGACCTGCGCAAGTCTGAGTCTGCAGACCACAAAGGCTATTTTACAAAGTATTAGCAATAAAAGCTAAAACTTGCCTCTCTGTGCTCTCTTCTCTTGTTCCTGTTAAGACACAGGGTCTATGACACAAAGCTGCAATCCCTACAGACACTCCTACAGTTTTCTATAACATGAACTCACAGAAGCCAAACAGATAAACATGCAGTTTCCATTACTAAATAATTTTCCTTTGCCAGTCTCAGAAAAAGCTGGTAGTGTTAGACAAACATGTTATGCTAAGTGCTTTTGAAGCCCAGTTTGCAACAGACTTAAGGATTTACCCAAGTGGAGATTTTCTATTCTCTTAGAAGGGTATCCTCCCTTATTCTCTATACAGACCTGGCTACCTACAGTAATGAATTTTTTAGGGATTTTATGACTTTGAGACTTTTTTCATTCTACCACAGGTGGCTAAGAACAGTCAATGGCTTAAGAAGGGACAGGTGAGATAAACAAGCTGACACATAGGTACACAGTATATTCTTACAGCCAGGCTAACAATCAAATAACATGGCAAAGAGATCACTAAGAGCACTTTTGTGGTGAGCAGGAATGCGTGTGCACTTCTGTTCTGGTGATATGAGCATCTGCTGGGTGGCTGTGGATTGCTCTTTGTTGTATCATTTGTTAAAATTTAATATTCCCAAAAAAAACCCGAAAGTTGGGATATTCATTCCCAACCATCTGCAGTTCCTGTTAGACTCTTGGAGACTCCATCTGATTTCCTTTTACTTTTACACCCAGATGCTACTGGCTGATATTCATCATCCTGCCAGTTAACAAAGACTTGGAAAACTTCGGCATAAGTTCCAGGCTGTGTCTGGCTTCCTTTTGTCAGTCCTGAAAGGGGCCAGAAAACAGGAAAGATCCCTCCCAGTCTTAAACTGCTGGGCAGAGGGGAGATTCCTGGGTGACGGCTGCCTGCCACACACACCCTTGCAGACCCCTGGGACAGGGTGAGGCTCAGAGGAGGAAGGGGACCAGTGTAGAAGACGATGGGTTTAGCCAGATTCCACTCCAGTTATCTTTGGCTGTTGGTATGTTTTCTTGGAGACCAGGATGAGCATTGTTGAGAGAACACTCGCATCTGAAGAGTCTGTAGCAGGCCTCTGCACCCAGCATCCAAGCATGGCTGCTTAGCACCAACATGGGGGTCACTTTGTAACACAGACAGTTTCCAGCTGACATGATCTCCTATAGGAAAAGCTCCACTGCAAGAACAACCACAGTCTTTTAAAATTTGGGTTTAAAATTTCCACTGCCATCTTTCTTGGGACCTTTCAGAGATCCAGCTCAGTTTAAAGGGCCATTACCAAACATAATGATAAAATCTGGCTACTTTGCAGTTGAAGGTGTGTGAGCCCTGATCTCTAGCTCTCGCTCTGTTTCCACATGATTGTTCCTCTTTAACCATAAACAGACACCACCTCTTACACTGGCACAAGTGAAGCTGAATACATCGAATTGATGATTGACTTCTTACCTTCGTGTCTCGTCTACTTTTTCTACCTCTTTAACTACTGCTCCACCTTCGTGCTTTTCATTTTAACATGAACTGTTCTTTTACATTAAACAAACTAAAGTAACCTTGCAGAAGAATAAAAAAGACAGTGAGAGAGACTTCTAGAGTTGTCTTGCAGGACTGTTCTCAACAAGTATGCAGAAAATTGGATAGGTGCAACTTAAAGTGCAACTTAAAATGTATCAAAGAGGTTTGAAAGAATCGGCTGTGATTCTTCTAAAGCTTTATTCTTAAATCCTGCTGACGCTTTGTAATAGCCATATAACCATTTCCTACTCCAGATAAAGCAAATGTTACCTTTCAGTGTAAAAACTAAGTAGAGATTTTGAAGGGCTAGTGTAGGGTTATTAATCACAGAGATGATGATAAGGTTACTCAGATGTGTTATGAAAGTAAAATGGTTAAAATCAAGATGGATTTGTATTCTTACTGAGACGGGTATGAAAGAAAAGTTAGCTCTGGTGAAGGTACAGAACTCTGACCCTGCACATGAAGCTCAACGAAGCTTGCAGTTTCCCAGGTCAAGCCCCATGAAACCCCTGTGAAACCACATGAAGCCTGAGTGGATGTTACCAACACTTGAAAATCAACATAGAGGAAGGGGAAAAGAGTTCAGGCCTCTCATTTAGTACAAACAAGCTAAAATGGCTAGGATTTCCTCACGTTTTTTCACTGTATCCTTAACTTTCATATGACCAGTTGAGACTGCTGCCAACTTTCCCACCACCCTTCTCACTTGACCAACTCCTCAAATTATCTGTGATTCAAAGAACTTTCTCTTTGCTTATGTGACATATCATGAAAAATGCATGAAGAATTTGCTATAAACAGTGAAAGTATGAGGGAAATAAGTGAATGGAACACTAACTCCTGCCTGCTTTACTGGCCTAGGCACAGCAGACCACATGTACAGTCTCAGATTAGATACACGGTGAGAAAAGAACTGTGCACCCTCAGAGATGTTCCTAGAATAAGAACAAACATGCATAAACTGACCATGGAAATCAGAAGGTTTCCTCCTACCAAGAGAAGGAAATTCTGGCCCAAACACCCAAATAAAGTAGGGAAGTGGAAGGACAGGAGAGACAAGGAGGAAAGAGTGTATTTCTGAATAGTACAATCTCTTTATGAAAAAGATTGGGAATGTGGCTCACTGCAGAAGCAGAAGACTGTACTCAGCAACCTAAAGGTCATTTTCAATTCTAGGTTTCCCTTCTTCCTTTCCAAACCAGAACTGATGAGAACTAATTCTAAAAGAAAAACAATCTGTTCTTTCTCTGCACTTGCCTGTGCACACATGTAAGTTAAAATGCATGTCACCTCTTTCCCATGCTCCAGCAAGGACAATAAAGGAAGAATGTAATCTCTTGTGTAGCCCATAGCAAATATAAATTCATGAGGTTTTAATATGCAGTCAATGTAGCAAATCAATTCCCATATTTCATACAGCTTTACAAATAAAGCACATCTTCTAGGCCTGATCACAAATAAACCAGAACAGAATCAAGCAGGTAATACACAAGGAGAAGATATTTTACAACTGATTCTTACCTGTTGCTTTTGTAAGCAAATGAGAGTAGTGTTCATGTTTGTTTACATGAATTGACCCCAAATCACTTTGGAACTGGTTCATAATTGCCACTCAAATTTGACATACTGAGACAGTTAATTGTGAAAGTCGATAGCCAACTAAAGAAGACAAATTATTCATCTCTCATTAAAGCAACAGGCTAAAATTAACTTCAACAAGCATCACAGAATCCATGCGAAACACAATCCAAGATATAAATCCACAGGAAAAAAAGATTTCACTGTTTGCAGAACTACTTGTATTGAAGGAGATCAGAGAGAGATAACATCAGTACTATAGAATCTAATCACCACTCAACAAACATTTTGGAAACAAGTCAGCAACCACATCTGCTTCAACAGAATCAGAGCTCCATGTGACAGGAAGCTTATTAGAGACCCTGTCTCTCATTATTTTGCTTTTGCTTATAACTTCGCAGCATGAATATTCAATATTGCAAAACAAAGCAGTTTCCTTCACAGACCGTCCAGAATGGAGGAAGAAATTGTGCCAGACATTCCAGATCCTGAAGAAATTGGTGCCTGTGGAGCTATGGATTTCTACCAACAAAACATCTGGCACAAAAGAACATGAAACATGCTTCTCTTTCCTCTTACCCTTGGTGTGAGGCAAGAATAACTCCACTGAAATTTGCTTGATGTATCAAGCCTAAAAACAAGACAAAAGAGAAGCAAATCAGCCCTTTAAATATAGCAATACATCTTAAAGAAATACAACTCAAAATATCTCATTTCCTCAATAGCATAAGATTTTACATTACGAGACATTTTTCTTGCTTACTACACGTAAAACAGTTGCTTCACAATACTCTAAATGCAACTTAGGAATTCCCATTTGATGCTCCTTCATGGCTTTGGTCCCAGCTCCAGGAGTCAGCGCCTCTGCACAGGTAAATTCAGGTGATTTGCAACACCACTCATCTGAGAACCTGCCAAGGACCAGAGCCAAGTGTCCTCAGTCCCAAGCAGGGTAATGGGAGCTCTGTGTGCTTGGCCCTTCTTAGCTGAAATACTTCCTCAAGTGAAAGGAATTAATCTCAAACACCTCTATATTAGGTGGTCCATGTGCATCAGACCTCTGCTGTCTCAGTTACTGAAGTAAAGGACACCTGAGCCTGCCCTTCCTCACTGTGCCCAGCAGTGACGTGTATTTTGGAAGACTGGGGTTGTGGATCTCTTAAGTATAGGCACTTCTATCCGTTGTATGGCATCAGTCATACAACATGACAACAGTTCCCACTTCCCCTTCTCTCTCTTCAACTCTGCAGGAGTTCTTCTTGCACATAAAGCAGGACTAGCATTGGGATCTGTCACTGGTGAGCAGTGGGATACCATTCCCTTCCCCTGGCAGGGAGGTCTTGCATGGATGTATCCACATTAGGTCTCTATGGGGTGCAGAGAGAGTTTACAGACAAAAACTCTCCAGCAGGGTTACACTCTGCAGACACAACAGACAATACTGAAGGGGACCTAGAGGGATGCTGCGGAGGGACTCTTCATTAGGGACTGTAGTGATAGGACAAGGGGTAATGGGTTAAAACTTAAACAGGGGAAGTTTAGATTGGATATAAGGAGGAAATTCTTTCCTGTTAGGGTGGTGAGGCAGTGGAATGGGTTGCCTAGGGAGGCTGTGAATGCTCCATCCCTGGCAGTGGTCAAGACCAGGTTGGACAAGGCCTTGGATGATATGGTTTAGTTTGAGGTGTCCCAGCCCATGGCAGGGGGTTGGAACTTGATGATCTTAAGGTCCTTTCCAACCCTAACTATTCTATGATTCTATGATTCCATAATACCTTCCATAGGTCTCTGGATGACCACTCTTTGCTCTTTCTCCATCACCTTGAGGATAGATAAAAAGCCTTTCAGGGAGATCTTAAGTCAGTGTTGCCATTGCAATCCCACAGATGCCAAAGTGATTTTTATACTCTTACTGCTCAACTAATTGCCAAGCCCCAACAAAGGGAGTTTAATGGGTTGCACCAGGCAATAAACCATCATCTATTGGCTCTATAAACACGGAAGGAAGAGAAGGAATGTAAAGCTGGAACAAAGCACAGACCCAGAGCAGGTCCAAATACTTGCAGAAACTTTTTAATCCAAAGATTTGATACCAGATGTTCTATTCAGATGACTTTAACAGAGCTCCACAGAACATTAAATGCTTCTCATGTTTTCAGTATTCAAACCACTCCGTCTGGGCACTTCTGCCACAGGGTACAAACAAAACTCTGCTTAATATTAATCAAAGAAGTGGGTTCTGCTCTACAAGTTCAATATAACAAGAGTAAGGACAAACACATGCTAAGTTGTTCCTGGGAATGCTGAACACAACAGAGGAGCTGTCTTGGATTACCACATTTCTGAATTAAGCCAGCCCAAAGTCTGACTTTAGGGAGGATATATTAGTGCTATGTTACTACACACATTGTGCTAAACTGGAGCACTCTGCATCCTTGATTAATAAATATCCCGTTAATAATATACCAAACATCCCTGTTTTCTTGTTTACCTGGAGTTTCCACAGACTGCTGCACAACTACTGGTCCATGGAAAATGTTCACGGTTTTTCTTGGACATCTATTGGGGTGTCACTTCTTTGCAGATAATATCAATTTTTGTCTGTGCCCATTTTTAGCCTCATGGTCTCCTTGTTCTCCTATTAGTTCCTTATCTTTAGCCCACAAAAACCCATAGCCATACTTAATAAGAATTATGACTACTTCTTACACACTCCTGCACAAAACCTTTTTCCAAACAATTTTCCCTCTTGAAATCCAGGACTATCTGCATTTGTCAAACAATACAAGGCTGCTGAGACTGGGCAGTGGCAGCTGAAGTCGCTGCTCCCTTATTTTCCCAGCTACCGGTGTAACTTCTTAACCTCTTTGTGCTGATTCCACTCTGCAAAGGGGAAGGATTACAGGACAACAATGTGGCCCTGTTTTCTCTCTCTGCTGCAGGTCCTTCCCTTCAAGGATTTAATATGTATCCTTTTCTTTACCAGTTCCATCTACTGACACCTGCACTTCCTCCTGCTTTTGCCTTCTGCTCTCTCAGTCATCAGTAACTCCAACTCAGAAAACAGCTCTTCTTTAAAAGATGTGCTCTTCCAGGTTGTCACATGGCTTCCTGAAAGGCTGATAATTTTGCCAGCCTTCCCTTAGAATCTTCTTCTATAACTGACTGTAGTCATCATGCATCCCACCAAGTGTAGCTTGACTATGAGACATGCAGAGATGCTTTTGCATCAATGCATCGACTTTTTGTGTATTTACTCTGATTAGACACTGGATGGTGCTCTTTGTACTTCCATGCCAGCAAAAGCTCTTTCAAAGCAATCCCTCCTCTCATGAGAATTGTAGAAATTCCCCAGGGTCAGATACAGTTACATGCCTAAGCTTCTAAATCCTGTGGGAAGAGCATGTTTTGACTACACAGAATGTAGCTGAAGCTGCAGTGGCAGCAGCTCAGCTAGGTAAGGACAAATGCCACATCAAGTGTCATTGCCTATTACAAATCCACCAAGCAGCGGCTTTCACATTCCTCCTCAAGTATTTTATTTGCTAACTGGTTCCTTATCAGTGTTCCCCATAGCAACAAGAGAGATGCAAGTGGAATAAAGTAGGATGAATGACATTATATCTGCATGTAAATGTAACTCAGATTATGCATGGAGAAGATGATCTGAAGGAGGTTAACGATGTAATGTGAAACCTCCTGTGGTCTCAGAGAAGGGATCTCTAGCACTGCATGAACAGTGAAAGAGTAAGGCAGGGAAGCATATCTCAGCAGCAAACACTTCTGAGAGAATCAAACTGAGATTCCATAGAAAATGAGTTCATTTGATCTTTTTTACCTGTGAAGAAGCATCCATTTCACAACAGATGTTTGTCTTCAGCTGTTTTTAAAAGAAGGTCAGAAGCTTTTTGACACTTTTAAAGGTGTGATGAATAATCAAAGGAAATCTGCTTTAGAGCAAAAAAGCTATAAGGAAATAAGAGATACATGCTCAATTTTCCCCCCACTATTGCTGACTTCTGTGTATCCCCAGGCCTGTAAATCCGAGATAATTCCTTCTCTTCAAGATCCACTAAAAGGCTCTTTTTCCACTGAAAAGTGTCATAGAAGTATAAAATATTTTGTGTGTCTGCATCTAAAGGATGCAGCTCTGGAAAAGCCACTCTAGTAAAATAAAGCAGCAAATAGAGATACCACTGTAACACCTGTCAGAAATTGGGAAAAATAGGGAATAAAAGGATTCATAAGGATGGGATGACATTGAGGAAACAGCTGGACTAACTGGGGGTACTCACTGACTTAAGATGTGGGATTTAAACTCGTATGAACAAGTACCTGGGTTGGTCCACTTCTGGACATACAGGCACAAGCAGAGGCCTGGAAAAGGCTCTGGAATCACTGAAGAGTCCCATCTGAGGCCTCAAGCTATTCTTTTGGAGCTTCCAGCAATCCTACCTGGATGAAAGAGTCTACAAGGGTGGGCTTGTTCAGCTGAAGGATTTGCATAGATCTGGTGATCCTCTGAAATCCTGTGGAATCTCCTCAGTTGGTCCAAGGTTTACACAAAGATTGCAGAGTCTTCTTGGGCATCATGTTCTTCTAAATATTGCCAGAGGCAGTTCTGAAATAGACATACTAAGAGTTAACAGAGGTTGGATTAATAAAACACCCCAAAATGAGCACTGCTGTTAAAGTCTTAACATGGAAGCCTTCTGGTTACACCACTTAATATGACACACATGGAACAAGGAATTTCATAATACTTGCAATGCTCCATCCTTTTCTTGGCAAATGGGCATTGCAATCATTAGAATTTATGAGATATCTGATCTGCTTGTGCCTCAGAGGAAGAAAATGGGATAAATGGCCCAAATCCTGCAGATCTGATATGGGTCATCTTATTGATGTTAATGAATTGGTCTTCTCAAGATTTGGAAGTTGAATGCATGAGATGCCATCGTTAACATGGTCTGTTCTGAAGATTACTATTCCATGCAATACTTACATGCAGAACAGACCCAAAAAGCAGCTCCCCCACTGTTATTTTAGGTTTTCTAAAAGAAAAATATTATCTCATGAACAAGCAAAAACCAAGAGTTCTTTCTGGGTTCCACTACCTTCATTGTCTCTGCTGCTGCACCATGTTGGGATTTGCTGGGCAAAGTCTGATGAATGTGTGGGTGCTGACATGGGCCTTGCTGATGCCTGCTCTCATCTATCATAAAATCCTGCTACAGTAACAGAGCTGGTAGAAGAGACTGTGTGTCCACACTTCAACTACTGCACTACAAAGTCTAGCATTTCTGCTTAAATCACTGATGAAGGCAGTTTTGGACTAAGGCTAAACACTGCTCAATCCTCAATCTTAAGAGAGCTTAACTGTAACAGGAGGCAGAGCAGACTATAGGGCACTAGCAGTTTAAACCAGTATGGGAAGTTTTGCCACCGTATCTGGTGAACCCTTTTTCTTCCTTCTCTGTGTGTCTGTAGACAACTTTGTTAATACAGGTATAGGGAGTCTAAATGGGTTATGGCATATTTTTAGATCTTCCAGTGAAGGGGTATGTAAGTACAAAGCAGTGTTGGTTTTGTGCCTCCCTGCAGTGACAATTCTAATGAAGCATTGCTGAGCAAGGTTACCCAAAGGACTAATGTGTCCTTTGCTATGCACATTGAATGAGTTTCTGATTCCTTGCTTATTTTGCAGTAAGAAAAATTGTTTAGTTTCATGGTACATCACAATATTCAATGAGCTTGCCCCTTGGGAACCCAGAGATCTTTCAAATCTTAATATAGACATCTTTCAAATGAGATCATTAATGTGCATATATTTGGATTTAGGGCCAATGCAAGCACTTTGTTTTTTGCCTGCCAGATTTTCATTTTTGGCTTCATTTGCTTCCCATATATTCAAAGAACTGGACCACATGGAATCCTTTAAACAATAGATGGGATAACATAATTTTTCAATGGCTCATGAAAAGGTTTTTAACCACATGAACTATTCCAGGGTTCGCTAAGAAGTTACCATTGCAAATAATGTAATTGTTCCAGACTGAATTCCTTGCATTCCAGAATAACTTTTGAAGCAAAGAGCATGACTGGTTTGGGATTTTAAACCAACCTCTTTATGGTAATACTTAGATGAATGTAAATTTTGTCCAAAAGCTTTGTATTAAAAGGACCAAACCCTACAAACACTCATATCTGCAGAACTAATACTTAATGCTAATGCCCCATCAATCTCAACAAAAGGAAAATAAACTTCTAAACATTAGGGACATCTGAAGACTTTTTTATTTAAACAAATAAAAGAGTGAGGAAAACAGCAGACAAACTCTGGCAAACCTAGAAATATTTAAAGTGCAAGCAATAAGTTCTGGTTTTCCTCTTTTGCTAGAGGATAAGTACTTGCCGTCTGAATGAACCCAAGACTTGCTCTTGTGAGCAGCTGAGTCCCTCCTTAAAGATGCATACAACTTCTGTTTCCCTGGGCTTCACCTGCAGTTAAGAACACTCAATTTTGTCTGGACAGATGTTGACTCTCTACATTCAAACATTCCTGTTGCACTCATCTCAAGACAATGCCATTTCATGGTTTGTTCAGTGAAGGAGTCTCTTACCAAAATTTTCACTGTATGACACCTACAGGTAGAGTCATGTAGGACAGATGGTTATAGATAGTATGTGGGATAGTTGGTCTTGGAATTAGTTTTCCTGCTTGCTCAGGCAGAGGATCCTCAGTTCCTCTGAGTGGAGTCTAGCCTAGCAATCCACAGAGCCTCTTCCCAAATCTGCCTTCTTACTCAGCTTTCTTGGGTGAATTGAATTAAACAGTGGATGGTTTATGAGATGAACACCATGGGGAACAGGGCCTGTAATTCACTGCATACTCCTACCATACAGGGCACAATAGAACTGAACTTCTTTGTGGCCAGTAGGCCAGTAAAGCAGCATAAATGGGAAACCGCACAATTCAGAGGGTCTTTTTGATCTCCATTTTGATTCTGTGCTACAGGCCAGCTTCTCATTTTCCACACATCAGCCTATTTCCGCTGAATTCACACCAGATGTAGACTTGGCCCTGAAAGTCCAGAACTTCAGTTTACCTTTTTAAAGACTCTGGTTTTTGTATAATCAACTTAGCTGTTGTATAAAACAACAGTATCTTGTACCATTCAAAACTAAAGGAAATACTTCTGTATTTTATTAGTCTCACTTCCTACAAATACAAAGCTTTCATGATTATACTCTTCATCAGTCTGATCAGAGCCCTTGGTCCTCTGATCATACACACCAAGGGACTTGCTGGAGTGTGCAATGACTTCCCCCAAAGCTGTGTACTTTGTGGCAAGTTGTAGATCAAGGTATGTAATTGGGTCTTGTCCTGTTATGGAGTTGGGACATAGCCAGGGTAACTCTGGCTATGTCCCAATAGGATCCGGGCCTACAATGCGGGACTAGTTTCAGAGAAAGTGACAGTGACCATTCTTAGAAGCCTAATGAAAAGAGATGCTTCAGTTGAGGTTAAAGTGCTCCAATAAAAAAAAAAAAAAAAAAAAAAAAACCCAAACAAAAGGAGGAAAAGAAAAACCACAGAAAGATTAAAAAATAGCAGTTTCACTTGGAACTTGAGCATACATGAACATCAAATCAATCACAAGACTGATCTATTAGGAAAACAGGTTTAATTAGCTCTTTTGTTACCTGTTTTACTTTCCTCAGGGAAAAAGAAAATACTTCTTCTCTCCCAGATGTGTTGTGTAAATCACTTCACTACCCTCTTTGCAAACCAAACCACCACAGTCCCCCTCAGTTTACTCCTGGTCTCCCCTGAGAGTACACACTCACTGCTTCTCACTGGATGTTACTGTCTAAACAAAAGCTGCAAAAATTCTCCTTTCCAGTAAGGCTGCAAGATTACATTTGAGGCAGAGTGCAAGGTGCCAGCTACTCCTCCAGCTTGTGCTAGTACAGCACACACTCTCCAGGAAGATGCATATTGCTTTACCTCGTGTCTGCAGTTTGTGGTACTGATACTGAAAACAGCCATGTTCGACTTGCAAGCCAAATGTATTTGATAAAAATGCACGGGATTCTAGAGGCTTTGTTATTCCTGGAGCAGCTTATTCCAGAAATAGTCTCTGCCCACCTGCAGCTCTCAGCTCTGATCCATGCCTCACTGATTCATTAATACTGCAGTTGTCCAACACTTACAGCAACGGAATCCAGGATTTTTGGTGTCTGCTGGTTCTGTCACTGCAACAGACCTGTTTCTATGACTGCAAACCGCTGCTAAAACCTCGCTTACCTCCTCTAAGGTTTAGCTGATTCAAGTTGGAAAATCCTTTGAAATCAAGGCTATGAGAACTACAAGTGATTAGAATTAAATGGGACGTTTTTGGAGGCAAAGAGGAAATTAACCAGTTGTTCCCGGTTACAAGCCATTGTGACTAGATACTGCATCAACCTTGGCCTCTGTCATGTTCAATTATTGTCTAGAAAAAGAAGTAAAGATTAAGTAAGAACCAAACCTACAAAGCTAGTACAGCTTTAGACCAGAAAACGGGGGGGGGGGGGGTAGTAAAAGCCCCATAAGAGTTTTACTATTCTTCAAACTACTGTATAAACCCCTGTTAATATGTAACCCAAAGAGTTCTGATTAAGATTTTGAAATGTTGCAATTCCAATAGTCAATATTTTGTCTATGGAAGTGATAGAAGAGATATGATATTTATCCCTTAATAATCACTTGTAGGTACACCAAATATCAAGTTTGATATTATCTTACCTTCTGTTTGCAGCAGGGGTGATGCACGAGTCTGATCCAGGCGGAATCAAAATGTGTGGGAGTTTTGCCTTGACATGAACAGGATACAAACAGCTGCTGGTGTGGGGGGTTTGGGGTACTCAATACAAACACACACCAGGACAGAGTTTCAAGCGCTCAGTTCCCTTTGTTAGGCCTAGATTTTCAACAGGATTCTCCCAATATCCACAAAAGGAAAGCCTGACATGTCTCAAGTTGGGAACACTGAAGAGTTCTTCCATTTAAGCCTATATTTTACAAGAGCAAAAACTGAAGAGATTTACCTCAAAATAGGCAAAATGTAAAAAATTAGTTTTTGGAGGTTCCCCATTTCAAGTTTGTATTTGGTTCAACTGAGCAAAAATGTAACATGAAACGCAGAAACCCACGCCTTGCCGTACCATGTCTTTGATTGCAAGGACTTAAAAACTGCAAGAACAAGTGAGATCCAGTTTAAAAATGACTTTTGGGGGATGCAAACCCTAAGGCCAGCTGTAACAGATCGGCCCATGACAAGACTTGGTATCAGCTCTTCACTCTCTTTCCATGGTTTTACATGACCTCAACGGATGTAATCTATTTTTTTTAATTGCTAAAAACATGGAGCTCAGACCCCCATCTCCCAGTGCAGCGGAACGATTAATGCCCTCCTCCATCACTGCAGACCAATGCCCCATAGAGTAGTGGGAAGAGATCCTGTGGCCCGGCAAGCTCCATCCATCACCCCAGCCCCGGCCACGCCAATGCAGCACAGCACTGTTCTGGTGCCCTCACTGCCCCGGGGGTGTCCCGCTGCCGCCCGGCCAGGCCGAGGAGGGGGAACCGGTCGGGAGCAGGGGGAGGCGGCGGCTCGGCCGCGACCGAGCCTCAGGGTGGCCTCGGGGCGGCGGGAACCCCGCCGGGTGCCTTCAGCTCCTCCATCGAGGCCGCTGCCCCGGGTGGAGGCCTCAGCCCCGCTCCCTCCGGGGCCGGCTCTGCCCCTCCTCTCGGCCACTGGGTGACAAAGCACCTCAGCAGGTGCCGGGCGGCGGCCGGACCGAGGGAAGCCACCCCGACCCCAGCCCTCCCAGCTCCGGTGACGGCAGCCGGTCCCGTGGTCTCACCGTGGGCGCCTGCGCGGCGCTCCTCCTCCTCTCGCCGGCGGCGGCCGCTGTCAGGATGAGGCGGAGGCGGCGGAGGTCTGGGCCGGCAGCTCTCGACTCTCGCCGGGGCCCCCTGGCGTAGCGGTTCCCGCTCCGACGCCGCGGCTGGAGGCGGAGGAGGCCGAGGCGGCGCCGCCCGCCCTCCGCAGCCATGGCCCAGCCCGGCCCGAGCCCTCCAACGGACGGTAAATGGGGATGCGGCCTCTCTTCGCGGAGCCGGGCGGCTGCGGCCTGCCCAGCCCTGGGCTCGCCTATGGGGCCGCGCCGGCCGGGGAACGGGGGGCATCGGCCTGGAGGAGGCGGCCTTGGGGGGCCGCGACGGTGGGTGGTGAGGGCAGCGAGGAGGCAGGATCGGCGGGGCAGGGTGCGTGGGGCACGGCCCGCGATGGGGAGGCCTGCGGGCCCCGGGGGGTGCTGTTCCCGGTCGAAGGCGGGTGAGCGCTCATGGGGGGAGCTTGGCTGGGAGAGGTGGGCCGGGAAGGCCTTGAGAGGGCGAAGGGGGCATCGCAGGGGGTTATTAGTTTGTAAATGTGTTTAATGTGCAGCAAGGGCGGCTCCCCAGCGCCGAGGAGGGAGGATAATGCTTCAGAGCATTATCAGGAGCGCTGCTGGCTCCTGCCGGGAAAGGGGCTCCCAGCTTGTGTGTGCGGTGGGATGAGGAAGGCCTCGCGCCCTGTGGAGGAGGGGGATAGGGTGATGATGCTTGTATCCAGGTAGACATTGATCGACTGGGTAGGACTCTGTCATTGATTTAGCCGCAGCAGGTGATGTTGGGCTGTATTCGATCTGTGCATGCGGCAGAAAGGCTCTTCGGGAGGTTGAGGTCAGGACACTTCGTGTGGACGGTTCATTCCTGTGCTGGAAAAGACAAAATGACAGCTCTTCTCTCAAGATGGTATTTACCTGTGCAAGAGGCAGCTAAGCTTTCCCTGAAGGTTTTTGTTATGGAAAGGTTATTTGTGACTGATCTGGGAGGAATTACAGACAAGAAAGTAATTTTTCCCTTTAGAATAGGTTACAGAACTGTGTGCATATCAGAAAAAGTGTAAGTAATGCTTGGCTGGACGGATGGCATTGAAGGGGCAGCGTTTAATGTATGGGATATATGGGAGGGGGCAAGAGAGCAAGAAATGTAGGTTAAGGCTGGACTGCTTGTAGAAGTAGGACTAGAGAGATGTGCAGAATCCTGAAGGATAGCTGCTCACCCAGCCATGGGACTATGCCACAGCTCTCCTTTTAGAGAGCAGCTGAGTTTCCCTGGGAAAGCACTGTTAGAAAAGGGCAATCATGGATTCTTAATTATGCATATCTAGGGAATTGTGTGGGCTTTTTCTTTTTTAGTGGAGTTGCACCAGAAAGTGCTTCTCAGGGGTTTCAATCTACCTTTTTAAAGTGTTAAAAATGAAGGTGCTTAGCTTGTGGGGGTTTTCCCTACATTAAGGCCAGTGATTGCACACTTGTCCTTCTAGGGCACTAAAGGGAAGGTGAATTTGCTTGCTGTCAGGCTTCTAAGATCAGTGTTGATATGGGTTGCTCTTGTGTACTTTCTGATGAATAACCATTGTTTATTGTTCTTTAGCCTGTTCTTCTGAAAGCTACAGAACAACTTCCAACATACTTTCTTCTTGGCTCTTGCAAACTTGTCTGACTGCAGGTGTGCAGCGGAGCTGTGCATTGTACAAATGTTTGCAGCCTCTTCCCCAGGAAAGGTAGTTGTATGTTAGTAGTATATTTGAGGTTCCAAGTTGGGAAGTTTTTATTTTGTTGATGATGTTCTTTAACATAAAAGAAGGCAAAAAGGTGCAAGTAAAATTCAGTAATTAGGTAGGTTGATGAAGTCTTTCTTGTAGGAGGCACCGATTGTTGTCTTTCTCATGCTTACTAGCTGTGGGAAGATGAGGATGCTGTAAATAAGACACATGGCAGAAGGGAACTGCCTGCATGTTGAATGGATTCTGAAAGTGGTTGCTGTGTTCTGGCACTAAAGAATTAGAGCTCCTAAAATGGCTCCTCTCCCTCATCCTCCATTGGTGGTAATAGGACCAGTTTGGGGGGATTTAATCCACTCATTACTATACTGTTGTTGTCATGTGTGTTGGTATTTTTTTTTAAATAACTTGCCAAAAGTGTGCCTTGAAACTTCTCCATTATATTTTCATATAGAGAAAATATTGAAGAAAGGAATTCCTTAGTATTTTTAGTTGTCTGCACTGAATTTATTGCTTAAAGGAGTAGTATAACCTCTGATTTAAGATTACATGTGACGAAATAGAACTGTGTTAGTATGTTCCCCTAAGGAAAAATAATGGCTTGTTATAACTACTTATATTGATTATAAATGCCTTATGCATTCTCTATTTCTTCAAGACACATCGGCTATGATTTTCTTCTTGTTGTTGAAAGCAAGTATAAAAGAACTAGTATTTCTCTTGTAGTAATAACATATGGAACATCAGGAGAGGAATATAATACAGAATGTATATTCTATTCTAATGCCCATACTGAAATGAAAATGGGCCCAACAAGAGGGGAGGCATAATACAAAGATATAGGAAAAGAATGCAGTTCAGGTCCTACCCTTGTTTTGTACTTTGCCTTAGTGTAGATGTTAATAACCCTCTAATTCTTTTGTGTGTGGTAACAGAGTTTCCATACGATAGCAATCACAGGCTGAGTGCAGAGTCCTTTCACTGGTGTAGCTCTGTGCACTGTGCTGTGAACTCATAGCTAATGGTGTCAACCTCTACTGCAAGTAGGTGTGTGCTGCTTATTGATCCTGGTCAAAGTGCTTTAATTCATGTGTGTTGTCTAGATTGTGTGACTGGAACAGAAATGCCTTATATTTCCAAACATTTTTCTTTTTGAGGGTGGTGTGCTCTCAGCCTCCGTGGGTTTAATTCAGGTCTGGATGCTTGCCAGCTCTGAAAATAAGGCTACAAACAGAATATTTTGGCATCAGAATGCTCAGACTTTAATATTATTCCCCATTTCATATCTGGAAAAAGCTTCAAGAAACTGCAGTTACACAAAACATTAATTCTTCAAGACTAAAATGAATTACAATAATATGCAAATTATTAAACTCTTCTTACTGCGCTAGTAAACTTGAGCCATAGTACAGTCAGGCTGGTAATTAGCATAACTGTTGGTATTATTCTGTGATAAAGGAAGCTGTTAATGGCACAGTCTATCAGATATCTTAATCAGAATTTGCCAGCAGAAAGCATTCATGCAGTATTGGAATAACTTGTTTTTACCCCTGTGCTTAGGCCAGTGAAAATGGTGTCTTTTTGTTGTGCTTGGAGATTCTGCCAGCTCTCAGGGGCAAGAACGCCCAGCTCTACATGAAAGGTTGGAGGAGGTTGGCATACTGATTTTAGTACCACTAGTAGTGCCATGAGCAGCGTTGTTTCCCTGTGGCAATAGTATGGGATCCTGGCAAGGGCGCAGACTCGCTGCTGCTGTACTTCTTACATATTCCCACAGCTGAGCTTTTCTAGTGGAGGGGCCTGGGATGTCACATAGAAAATTAAGTAACAAAACTTAAGCCTTAGGTGCTTTTATGCTTCTAGTTATTTTCCTTGTCAGTATCACATTTAGATGAAATTGAAGTATCTGAAAATGTGACTACTCATCCCAAAAGCCAGGTGTGGTTGGTAGGGGACTGGTTTTGAGCACTGAAGTTCAGCTGTTGATGTAACTGTCAAATGTTAAACTCTTCTCTTGCAGAGTAACTTCAGAATTGTTGGTGCTTTCCAAGAGCCCAAAAATGTCTTCCCTCACTTTCATTTTGCTTTGTCCTGGGTTTATTATTATTTAATATTACTAATATTATTAAATAAATATATTTTTAATAAAAATACCCTACAAACATTCACAGGCTTGGGTTGGGTTTTTTTTAAGCACTCTGTTTCTCTGTGTCAGTTCAGTGGACTAACCTGGGATTTGGCTTCAGATGCAAAGCAGACACCTTGAATGTACATGTTTCCACTTCTTACAATTTCTAAGGAAGTTCTGGTCCATTCAAGCAGGTCTGTTTGCTCTGGAGTAGAAATATACCTATTCAGGGTGTCTGGTTTGCTGCTGAAGACAAGTCCCAAATCTCTCAATTTTGAAGGATACCCTGACCCTGCTCATTATAATTAGCTGTTGGCTTGCCTGAAGGCACAACGAATATATTTTAACACATGGACTGACTCTCTTCTATTTCAAACACTGGAAAATAGAAATTCTTTGCCCATCTCTGTTGCTGCTTGGTCACTTGATCATCCTCACAGAGAAGATGGCTTTAGCAACTGTTTTCTTCCCTTTCTGGCCTGCTGCCTCAAGATGCTTAGTTGCTTTCCCATAGCCCTTTGTGGGTGGAGCAGATTCCCACTGTGGAACTAGTTTCTGTGCACTTCTTTGAAAGTGACTGAAGAGGAATTTTGTTTTAAAACTTTGAAGAAGCTAAACCAAACAATGTGTCTCAGTGTGGGAGCGGACCAAATCCCATAGGCTTCACCACGTGTGATGGCTGAATGGCAGACTTCCTGGGTTGTCACTCCAGGCACTTTATTAAAAATACCTTTCAGATGTGAAGTTTTCCATGTTACATTGGGGTATTTGATTATATTGGGTATTGTTTAAAAAATATGTAGTTAAAAAGAAAAGCAAAACCAGGAGCTTATGGCTTTACTGTGACTGAGGACTTCCAAGATAAGAACTGGGAACACTGATAAGCAGCACTTACTAAGCAGACTCTGACAGCAAGGTTGGGGAGAAAAAAAGAGATAACTAGCTATAAATGCCATTGTGTGTGTGTATTTAAGAGGAGCATCCTTCACTCCAAAGGTCTAGTGCTTCTGAGTGGTTCATAGTCTTTACTTGCAGAATTGTTTCTAGTGACTGATTTAGTGGTGTTTGACTTAATGGTACTAGCCTCTGCAAGTTACTCTATAAATAGTGTAAGCATTGTGTAATTTTAGTCATGGTACAGTCAGTTGAACATGATGATGAATTATCTCTGGAAAAGTTGCAATCATTTGATATCTTCACATAAATTAACATAGGAGGAACAAGTGAGTAGCACACTTGTAGTTAATATTTCTGTGCCTTTCAGAAACAAGAGCGTTGCTTTTTAGCTCTTCACTGAAATAAACCTGGTGCTTGAGAAAACATCTGGGTTGTCCTGTTGCTTTATAGC